CCCTCTCTCTGGTTCTCCCCCCCTCTCTCTCTCTTGCCTTTCCTCTCCCCCTCTCCCACATTGGATATCAGCAATGGGAGCTTCCTTCTGAGTCTGGAGTAGCTCAGGTCCAGACCGGGTTCAGTCCCAACCCAAGCTCATCCCTATTGCGCAGCAGACCTATGGTGGCCTATCTATCCTGTAGCTAATTTTATTTCTGCAGCTGCTCAGGAGTGTGGGTTTCATCTCAACCTGAGGTCATCCCTATTGCAGAGCAGACACACGGTGGCCTATCCTGTGACTAATTCTATCTCAGCAGTTGCTCAGCAAGGGTGCTATTTCCTCTGATATACGCTAGTTGCAGAGCAGACACCATTTATAAAATGATAATCCCTCCAAAAAAAAATATATTTTCAGAAAATTCTTTACACCAACAACTCAATGTGAAGTATTCGCTGCAGAACACACGACTGGTGTGTGTGTGTGTGTCCCGGTTTTGGAAGCGGAGGCATCTTATTAACGGAGCCGGTGACAGAAGGTGGCGGCACTTACCTGAGAGTGACGTTATCCCCTTGACAGGCGGTGTAATTACCATCTGGCGGGACCAGCTCCGAGCATTCCACCAAGAGGACTGGGCAGAGAGATAAGGAGGTGCAGAGGAGGGAGGGGGGCACAGCATGTGACAGGTAGGGGGCGCAGGGCATGGCGCCAGGTGCAGAGGATGGGGGGGGGGGGGAAAAGAGAGAAAAAAAGATTTGTTACAAATGTGACAATTCCTGAAAACAGACAATTATATCAGACAGCAGCTCTGTGACACGTCTACTCTACAGGATACACACATTATATATATATCATACCTGCCCATTGATAAAGGGGTCCCATTGTCAAAAAATCCCAAACCCCCCACACCCCCCTCACCCAACATAATTCCAATCTGCACTTTAATGAGGACAGCGCGGCCCCCTTTATATGTACGACAAGTGTGGGGGCACCTCAGCCGAAAATGTAAAACAAAAAATGTACATGTAAAAATGATGTGCGGCCCCGCCAAACCCCATACCGGACTCTCATTCTAGATAGGGGTGTGGTATGGATTTTAGGAGGGGATCCCACACACAACCCCCTAAAAAATGGGAGTTCCTCTTCATATCAGAGCCCCCACTTCACATCAGAGATCCCCCTTCACATCAGAGCCCCCCCTCAACATCAGAGACCCCACTTCACATCAGAGACCCCACTTCACATCAGAGATCCACCCTTCACATTAAGAGTCCCCCTTTACATGAGTCCCCCCTTCACATCAGGAGCCCCACTTCACATCAGGAGCCCCCTTCACATCAGGAGCCCCCCTTCACATCAGCGTCCCCCTTTCACATCAGAAGCCCCACCTTTCCATCAGGAGCATCCCATCAAAATCCCCCTTCACATCAGAGTCCACCCTCAACATCAGAGACCCCACTTCACATAAGAGATCCACCCTTCACATTAAGAGTCGCCCTTTACATCAGAGTCCCCCTTTACATCAGAGTCCCCCCTGCACATCAGAGACCCCACTTCACATCAGAGATCCACCCTTCACATTAAGAGCCCCCCTTCACATCAGGACCCCCCCTTCACATCAGGACCCCCCCTTCACATCAGGAGCCCCCCTTCACATCAGGAGACACCCTCTAGGTCTAAAATAAGATACGTAATGGAAACAAACCGATTTGATTGAAATATTTCTTCAGCATGGTGATGCCGGGTGGGGCGACCAGAGGAAGCAAAATAGAAGCAGATTAAACTTAAACTTCAGCACATTGATCATCCGAGAGATATAAAATAATAATAAAAAGCAACAACACCCAACCTGGACGTGATTCACGGACGTGGCGCTGCGATGGATGAATCAAGACATAAACCAGCTTTAAGCAAACCTCCCGTCTGTCTGGTTTCAGCGACGGCGCTCCGTCTTTTACTCCATATCTTCCCGGAGTTGTATATTGTGTCTGGAATAAGTACAATCTCATCCCGGGTGTTCTATCGAAAAAGCTCCAACTCGTCGAGATCTCCAACTGCCTCGCTTCCGGTGCTAAGAAAGACTGGCGCTCTGTACAGTTGCGGTGCGCATGCGCCACAGCGTTTTCAGCATACTCGTTGAGTTTGCCACCTGCTGAATATTGTTAAAATGCAGCTGTACAGGACTCCGTCAGTCTTTGTGTTTGCAGTACGGATGGCCAGCGCCCAGCGGTGAGGGGGAGAGAAGCCGCCCCCAGGACGAGCTGTGTCGGTCGCACGGCGCCCTTGTTGCCATGGCGCACTGTGCGGCCGCACTGCTCGCACACCCCTAAGGCCGGCCCTGACGAGTACCAATATTTTTTGGGTCCTCTAGCTCTGCCCTCTATGCTGGGACGGAGGGTAAAGCAAGCAGTGGGCAGATGCAATAGCCAGCCTGCTATTGCAATTCAAAATGGCCAATAGCAGGCTGGCTATTGCACCCGCCCACTACCTGCTGTACTAACATTCAGCTGCCGTCTCTTGGAATCTTGCCACCGGCAGCCGTCATTCCCGGGATGAAGCTATTCCAGGGCCAAGTGCTCACTGTACAATTATAAAAGGTGGGAAAAAGTCATTTTCGGTTTCGGCCTGACAAATTCTGCTGCGGGAGGTGCGTTGCAGTGCCATTCTTTTCCCTGGCAAACACACCTACCAGCCACAGTGTGATCGCCCGCACTGGAACGCACCATACCGCAAGGCCGTGCGTTCCAGTGCATTGAGATTGCTTTATTCTGAGGTAAACTTTGTAACACTTCATTTGTGTGTTTTATTTTAAATGAAAGACGATATCCATTTTATTTTATTGTATCCGATTAATCGAAAAAATTATCGGCCAACTAATCGATTATGAAAGTGATGATTTGTTGCAGCCCTAGTTCAAACCTCTTCCTGCTCCATGGAAAACAAAGTTTGAGCTTCGCACACTTTACATAAACGCGGCTTTCCCTTTTTAGCTCGGCTCTCTCTCCCGTCAGATCGATTTGCTCTGTGAAGGAGAGACGCTCGCTTCAATTTTTTTTTGCTATCAGGAAACAAAAATAAGATGTGACACATGTGAACGCGATTTATTATTAGGCCAGATCCACAAAAAGTCTCATTTCAGGGTTTGGAAATGTTGTTAGGAAAGAGTTGTTTTTTTCAAATAAAGGAATTGTGGAGCCGTCACTGAGAGCTGAAAGATGCTGTGCTGATAGAAGAGGTTAAAGGAGGTGTAAACCTGATCACAGCACTCTCCAGTAGCAGAACGAAGGAATAAAAGGCCTTGGTGCAAGATTTTATTTTTTGCCCCACTGCCCAAGGGGGGGGCAGGATTGGATTTTACTCTCCCCCAACCCCCCCAGCGGTCTCTGCATCAGAGGAGCTTACATTCTAATGTCCCCCCTCAGTCACACACTATTATTATACATTGATATGGCTCTAACATATACCACAGTGCTGTACAGAGAACACTGAACCAGTCACATTAGTTTCTTTACAGAGGAGCTTACACTCTAATGCAGAATGGCACCGGCTGTAGGGGGACCACAAATCCCAGCAGTACATTATAAAGCAATGCAGAACAGTATATGACTTGGATTCTGGACTTAGCAACGCACTAGACTCTGGGCATAGCAACGTACTGGACTCTGGACATAGCAATGCACTGGACTCAGGACATAGAAATGCACTGGACTCTGGACATAGCAACGTACTGGACTCTGGACATAGCAATGCACTGGACTCTGGACATAGCAACGTACTGGACTCTGGACATAGCAATGCACTGGACTCAGGACATAGAAATGCACTGGACTCTGGAAATAGCAACGTACTGGACTCTGGAAATAGCAATGCACTGGACTCTGGACATAGCAATGCACTGGACAGTTATGCAGCCGGCACCCTTAGACATGGTTTATGAGAATCCAATGTCAGGTTATAATTAGTGGAATTCTGGCTGAGCCCCGCCGCACTGAATATTCAATATATCAGGACCAAAACAATCTATTCTGAAACTCTAACAAAGGCAGGGGGTGTTTACAGTGTGGCAGGGCGCAGCGTAGCATGGCAGGGGGAGAGGAGGGCAGGGAGGCACGGTGCACTAGCTGTGACATTCCGCGCACCCAGGAGGGAGTCAGGCAATGTGTTGCATGGAAAAGGTGGTTACGGAATGAGCGCTTCTTAAAGGAGAACTGCTGCCAGGAAGGAAAAAAAAAACTGCTCATGAACTTGTATATTTAGGTCCTTTTAAGACCTATAGAGATGGTTACCAGCAGCAGATGTGAAAATTTTCCATTTGCATCGGAGGGGGTGGGGTTGATGTTGTGGGGAGGGGGGCTCATTGCTAGTGATGAGCCTTTTCATGGTGCGAAGGTTCATCTTTAGTCATTGCATTGTATGTGACAATAGGGAGACAAAACTCAAGAAAGTAGAAACATTTGCTTGGAACTACAGTTAAGATGCTCAGCCCAGGCATTAAAAATGGTGATGTACAATGGCCTCAGACTGTTAAATCTGAACTCCGGGATACACAAATATTGTCTAAATACAAGAGGCGTGTGTATTCATACTTGGGGGCTCCTGGCGGCTGGTTTACACATTTTTCACCCAGCTACTGTATAGGGTGTTTCATACTGCACTGTCCCCACTAGGTGGCGCTGAGGAACAAAGCAATTTCCTATGCTCATTGGCTCCCTCTAGTGGCGGTAGATTTATAAATCAGCACTGGACTCATGAGCTTTGTGTATTTCTTCCAGATCTGTGCAGTAATCCAGTGTGAGACTTGGAGCTTCCTGTAATAAAGACCGGTCACTAGTACTCTCTTTCCCTGTGCAGGGTGACTGGTCTGGTCTCTGCCCCCTCCTGTAATAAAAACCACGTGCTGCTGCTCTCTCTCCTTGTGCAGGGGAACTGGTCTTGTCTCTGCCCCCCTCCTGTAATAAAGACCAGTCACTGCTGCTCTCTTTCCTTGTGCAGGGGGACTGGTCTTGTCTCCACCCCCTCCTGTAATAAAGACCGGTCACTGCTGCTCTCTTTCCTTGTGCAGTGTGACTGGTCTTGTCTCCGCCCCCTCCTGTAGTCAGGCTGACTGTAGTGGATAGGGCTTGCTGGGTCCCTCCCACAGCTCTGCTCAGGCTTTGTTCAGCACAGTGATTACCCTTATATGGTGATAACCGAGTTTACATTGGTGTTTTTTATGCACACATTTCTATCCTCTGTGGCTATTGAGGAATATAATTAGATTAAAGTTTTTGTACCCGGAGTTCAGCTTTCAAGCAGCACAATCTTCTAGCTCATTAGTTCCTGGAAATTGTCACTGGTTGATATGTTAGTCTTAAGTCTCTGCTGCTCACTGGCCCTGTCACTAGGCCCACGCTACCTCACTTAAAGTATATTATTGAATAAATCTACAAGTCTGCAGGAATAAATGACTGACGTGTCACAATATACAGCGACGTTACAACAATTCAGGAAATCTCAACCTTTTAGCATGAAAAAGCTGACCCGAGAGCTGCACTCGGTGACTTTGCTTCGGCTGAGACGATACAAACACGACTAGAAATAAATTAAATAAACACTGCAAAGAAATACTTTTCAGGTGCTGCAAAGATGTGT